CCGCGGCAGCAGCTCCATGGGGTGGGAGGGCAGCGCGTGCCCCGCTGCACCCCGCTGCACCCCGCTGCGCCCCGCTGCGCCCCGCTGCGCCCAGCATCCCCAGTCTCTGTTGCCGTTCTGCTCCCGTTTGCCAGGGCAGGGGCAGGTGCCGCTGGAGCTGTGGCCTCGCTGCTGCCACCACCAAACCACCGCCTGTCCCCACCCCGCAGGGCTGGCTGGGGTGAGGGGTCGGTGTTGCCTGGCTTGCACACAGCCGCCGGCGCATCCCGGCCCCGCTGCCGGGCAGGTCACTGGCCCGGGCTGGCCCTGGGTGCTGGGGGCTACCTGAGTGATGCAGCAGTTCCTGCTGGCCAGGCTGGAGGATGCACCGAACTGGCCGTTCTCAGCCTGACCCCCGTGGCGAGGCCAGATCTGCACAAGCGGTTTGGTGGGGGGAAGCGCTGCAGAGCCGCGGCTGGAAGGGTCCCACAGGTCCCCCATGCCTGGGGCAGGGGGGTTCGTGATGGTGCCAGGCAGGGCTGCGCAGGGGTCCCAGCCCTCCTAGGGTGGTGACCCCCCCTCACCTACCCCGGCTTGGTGCCTGTGCCGGCATGGTGTGCAGGGCTCAGCCGTGGGGTGCTGCCCCCCCAGTCCCAGCAGCACTGCCACTGTGCTGCGTGTACCCACCTGCACCCCCTGCTTGGCTTGGGCCAGCTCCGAGCACCCCGGCCTTGACCCGGAGGCCATCGTGGCAGGCGGACGTCCGAGCAGGCTGCCGGCGAGCGGCTCAGGGCTGGTGCAAAGCGCCAAGGCTAGAGGAGGGCACGGTGCCGGTGCCAGGGGACCCCGCTCCTCCTGGGAGAGTGGGGGGCAGAGCTTCAGGATGGGGTGCAGGATGCAGTGGGACCCCTGGCTTCTCTTGAGAGCCCTGGGATCCTTCACACCGCATGCAGCCAGCACTGCTCCCTGCGCCCCGGTGCTCCCTGTGACCCGGTGTTCCTTGTGTCCTGGTGCTCCCTGCGCCCTGGTGCTCTGGCAGCCACTGCTGCAGGTGCATTCGACCTGATTTTGGGAGCATTTGGCCTCTGAAATGATGCCACGTTTCCAATCGCCATACCAAACGCCTGTGCTGCGGTTATGGGGAAGAGCAGTGCTTGCTTGCCCAGGCAGCTGGACGGTCGCGGTGGGTTGTGGTGGTGGTACCCCCGCCCCGGTGCGGCACCCTGCCCAGCCTGGGCTGGTCGTGGCTCGCAGGTCGCCGGTTGTGCAGGTGGGGAAACTGAGGCAGGACCAGCCGGACCTCACAGGCTCATTGGTTTGGAGAGTGGTTCGTTTGCAAAGCTCCGGTTCCCAAGCCGTAGCCGAGGGGTGGCTCAGCTGATGGTCCCCGTTGGAAAGGCTTCTGTCACTGCGCTCTGCTCCCCGTTGATGTTCAAAAGGCTCTTTTCAGTGAGTCATTTTCTCTCTTGCTGTCCCACTATCCAGGGAAAATGGTGACATTCGCGGTACAAAGTGTGTTCACCATGGAAACCGGCTGAAAGGAGGGGGAACACCACCCCCTGCTCCTCCCAGGTTTGGCTTTGCATCCACGAGCCTTAGAAGATGGCTCTTGAGCTCCTTCGCAAGCGCTGGCAAAGAGTTTGGCGTGGCCTGGGCTGTGCCAAAGCACGCGGGGCTGGTGCATCCACTCACTGCCATGCCGGGAGCCAGGGTGCTCCGTGCCTGTGCCATGCGGTGCCGGGCAGTGCCTGGGAGCAGCCGTGCGCTGCCGGCTCCCGCCGGGGCAGCAGGACCTTCCCCCAGACCCTCTGTGCCCTTCAGGTGCCTTTCTCAAGGACACACAGGAGCTGGCAGCGCGGTGTTGAGCCCCAGCGCAGGCGGCAGCAGAGGGGCAGCGCAGTCAGGGCGCGGGGCTGGTGATGGGGCGATGCACTGTGGTCCATGCGTGGGAGCCCTGTGTGTGCCATGAGCATCCCCGAGGGACTGGGCACCGTGCTCGGTGGCCTGGGGAGGGACGGCGGCGCTGGACAGGGGTTTGGACCGGTGGGGTACGGCTGAGCGGGGCCGTGGGTTAGGGCAGGGCACCCATCCCAGCCCTGATGTCCCGTGGGGAGGGCACCGCGCTGGCCACTGCGGGGCTGCATGCAGGTCCCCCGTGAGGCCGGCTCCGCTGGCAGCACCGTGGCCTTCCGGCTTCCTCCTGCCACAATCGCGCTGGTTGTTCGGGCAGGCTCTGGGCAGAATAGTAATGTGGCAGCTGCAGCCGGCAGCGGGGGCTTGGCGGGGACTGGCAGCTGAGCCATGGCTGCCCCCGCTGCCATGCAGCCACGGTGCAGGCTGGAGCGGGGCGGCGGGTGCCGGATTTGGGGTGTGCTGGTGCCTGGAGGGTGCGGTGCCCGGCTGGAGCAGCAGCATCACCATCCCCGTGCCTGGTGGCCTGGGGTCTGGAGCTTCGGGGCTCGGGGGCAGGAGCTGTAGCTGTGGTTTGCCCAGTGGTGCTTGCATGAGGGTTGGCACGGGGCAGGGGCAGAGGCAGAGCTGTCGGTGTCAGCGGGAGCAGGGTCTGCCCCGTGCCGGGCCGGAGGCTCCTGGCAGTGCTGGCAGGTCTCCGGCAGACCTTTCTCCTGGGGGATGTCGTCTCCAGGCTCTGTGGACGTGATGGTTCAGGAGGACGGGATGGTTCAGGAGCCGGCTATGCCCGGGTGCTGGGGACACTGCCTCACCCAGGGCTGCTGCTGCTGTTGCCATACCCGCCGGAGGGCAAACCCTGGCACCAGGGCTTAGCTGGGGGGGCGGGGGCTTGGGTGGGGGGGGGTGCCGCGCCCCCCCGAGCCAGTGCAGCCCCTCTCCATGGGGTGTCATTGCCACCCTGCATCCACGGGGACCGTGCCCCCGTCCCCCTCCATGCAGGCTGCCACCAGGGTCCTGCCTCGGCTCTGGGGTCCCTCCTGGGCTCCCCACCCATCCTGGCCACCAGCTGAGCCAGCAAAGGGGGCACAGCGGTGCTGGGACCCCTGCTCTACCCGGGTGCTCCTTGCCAAAGCCCCCATGAGCCCAGATGTGTCCCCGCATCCCGTGACCCCCACCCAG